ATTGGGGGGGGGGCCCCTGGTGTTAGGGAGGGTCCCCGGCAATGCTCCCTCTAAGCTGTGGAGCCTTGTGAGCAAATATGCTACTTTGTGAGCTACTGGCATTAAAGTTGTGCGGGAACAATTTGGCCGCTGCATAAATTAGTTTGTTCTGGAGGTGTCCTTCCTGAGCTAAGGCAAAAACGTGTGAGCTGGAGGCTAAAAAACTGTGAGCTAGCTCACACTAACTCAGTTTAGAGGGAACACTGGTCCCGGGAACACTCCTGTAGCCGAGGGTCCCTGAAAGCCCTAGAGCAAATTCTATGCAGTGGTGTTGATTGGTGTATGTGATCTGGAGGTCTGTGCGTCTGTGTGCATTTTCTGCAATGCAGGGGCCGCTTTCCCATGTTGCGTTGTGTTTTTCTGAGTCATGTCAGGTGAGCTGCTTGGATCTGTGGGTGGATGATCCTGCCCCTGGGGCTCTCTCTGAAGTGTAGAATCAACCTGCAGAATGGCGGCGTGTGCTTCTGAAGTACAAATGGCCCATGGACTGCGCATGTGCGTGGGAAGATGCTGCCCCAATCACAAAGTTGGACAAACCAGACCTTCAAGCCACTTTGTCACTGGTTTGAAGCTCTGGCTTGTCTGAGTTGTCTCTGGCAGCTCGCATTTAAAGCCAGAAGCTGAATTAAGACAGGTATCGAACCAACTCGTCAAAACAGGGTGGGTGCAAAATATGACAACAGTTTTAAAAAGTACCTTAGCAAGTGAAAGAGAACAGAAATATGCCTGTAGGAGAACAAAGATGGGCTGGTGCCCTATTCCGAGAAGACCTCTGCCTTCTGAAAGTGCGACAGCTGGGTTTTTCAGTTTAGAAAAAAATGTTTTTTTGGGGGGGAAGACACACACATAGTAGAAGCATGGCATGGAGGATGTATATAGTTGTTGTTGTTCAGTCGCACAGTCGAGTCCGACTCTTCGCGACCCCATGGACCAGATCACGCCAGGCCTTCCTGTCTTCCGCCGTCCTCTGAAGTTTGCTCAATTTCATGTTCGTTTCATCCAGAGGTCATTTCGGGGGGGGGATCGCGGGGGATCGCAGTTCCCCCGGGTGAGGTATGGGGGCGGGGCACATGACGAAGCCCCGCCCCCTGCTTACGGCTGCCCCGCTTACGGCCCTCATTCAGCCAGGAGGAGGCAGGAGAAGAGGGAGGGTAAGTTGCTTCCTCCCTGCCTCTCCCCACCCCTGCCTGCCTGGGGCCAGGGAGGGCCTTCGCGGGGCTTCCTCGCACTCCCGCCGGCCTTGCAGGTCCACCTCATGGGGCTCGGCAGTGGAGCTGCAAGGCCGGTGGCGGCGGCTGGGACCGTTGGGGGTGGGGGGCATGGCCTTACGACACACTTCCGGTGATGTCAGGGGTGTGGCCTTATGACACACTTCCGGTGATGTCAGGGGGTGTGGCATATGCTAATGAGTTATGCTAATGAGTTCCCCTAGCTCTTTTTCTACGAAACAACCCCTGGT